ACAAACCAAACACACTTCTATTCGTGTTCGTTTGTTTATTAATAAACATAAAAAATTTATTCATACTCGTTTGTTTAACTTAATAAACAAACATAAATAAGCATTATAAGAACAACTACAAATCATTCATTGAACACTCTGTTCATTTATACCCCTAAGTAGAAGTTTCTATAATCCATCTTTAAAATGAAAACAACAAGAGGGGTTTAATTAATTAATTAATATATGTATATGGATGGATGAAATCATGTTACACAATGCAAAACTCTTGTAGTTTTACATAGATTTATGATTGTTGAATGAGTAAAAACATATGGATGAGATTAAAAGTAAGAGATGTGAAGATATTTACTGAAAATAAAAAACTGTAACCCCCCAGACCAATGCGGGTAACCCGATCCGATCCGGGGTGTCACATTTGGGCCACCGGAGCGACCCACTGTAAAAATAGCGGAAAATTTAAAACTTTTTATCAGAACATGTAAACTTATAAAATCATTTGTCGTTATTTAAAAATAAAATAGATTTTCAGACTCGTATATAAATCAAAATACAATTACATGCCCCCTAATCACATGTACCATACTCTGCAACAACGCCGAAAGAACTCCCTTACTGAAGTCGATAGATGCACTGGTATAATTCTTTTAACCTGAAAAGGTGAGTAATAGAGTGAGCTTCGAAAAGCTCAGTAATACAGAACTACCAGATGATGCTGAAAAACGTGCAGATACAGATAAACATATTTTCCTTATTGGTTCAGATATTTACAGATTTTTATACTGAGCAGGGATCCTACTGATATTTCAGGTGCTAACGGACAATGAGCTTTCAGTTCAGATAAATAATTTTGGATGACTGAGTTCAGGAGATCAGAATAGGTTATCTAGTGTGTTCCCAAAAACCATGTAACTTTTCAGATCTTTTTTAAAACATATATATATATACCCCCATCCGTCACGAACAAAATGTGTAGGTTCCCCAGAACCATACAACCCCGTCACGAACAGTAAGGCCCTGAGCACAAAGCCGAGGAGCCTGCAAGTAAGGCCCTGAGCACAAAACCGAGGAGCCTCCAAGTAATCTTCCTCCAACAATACCCCCCAATAAAACATGTTCCGTACGTAAACGGATATATCAAAAATCAAAACATAATTTAAGTCAAGTATTATATCAGAATCCAGGTCATGTATCAGATCAGAATCCATGTCAATATCAGATCAGAATCCAGGTCAGGTATCATAACAGAATTCAAATTTGAAATCAGATAAAAACATTCATGTAATTAGGGAACACACTAGAGTTTACAGGTATTATTTAGAGGTACTGTATCAGGCAGAGAAACACAGTTCATCAGTATGTCGATAGAATGTTGGAATTTAGAATCACTATTGGAAGAGTTCAATAACTGACAGAATCATCAGTTATTCATAATGTGAATTATCAGGATATTATCTTATTCGGACAGTTTTTAGAAGTTGTACGTAATCAGAAGGGTATTCAGAATCCTTTACATCCATGTCAATTGATCGGATAATCGAACAACTTGATAACGAAGATTCAGAACCTTAACAATTTATATCCACTGGTCAATTCATTTCCCTTCTAGGGTATTTACTTTTTAGTACCACAAATTCTTGTTCATAGATCACCTTTAGAATCATCGCTGAATAGATCTTCCAATGATCTTTATTTCATTTCCAAGCTTCCACGATATCATGAAATACTGACGTGCTTGATTTGTAGTTCATGTTCCATAAGGACAGTACATCTTATAAACTCATCAGAATTTCCAGACTTATCCAATTCACTTACTTAATCCTCGATCATTGAGGTTACTTAGCTTATTTAGCAGTCAAATCCATTCCAGTTACTTCGGGGTTTTTCAGAGTAATTTAGACGTTACTGAATTTTAGATACATGTTGTACTTCTATTCCATTCGATTCGGTCTTCATGGTTGATTTGACTAACAAACGTCCAATTCCTAGTACTGAATGCGATCTAGAGTTGAGTTGAGTTGAATACTTCCAAAATTATCATCGAGCCAAACTTAAGAAGACGAACACACATTCCAGTAATATCTATGCCATTCAGGTATTTACATAGATTTAATTGACATAGATTTAGGGTTGATATACTCACTTAAATTGTTTTCCATTACTTTTAAAGGTATGCTAATACCTATGTTTATTTGGATTCCATAATTAATCCAAGGCATTTACTTGGTATAGGTCATCAGGGTATTTTGGTAATTTTGGTGTTCAGTTTTATTCCATTCATTTCAGAGATCGAGGATATCCAATCATTCCTGAGCTTGGTGATATTCTTGGGTCATTTCCATTACTGGGGTATTTTGGTCATTTTACAGATCTACTGTATTTCAATCTTTTCCTGCCATCCGATCTTATTATTTAATTCAATATTATCATTTACTTCAGTCCTTTCGAACAATTCTAACAGCAGAATACCCCCGATAAATTACTCTTCAAGTATTTACTCATTATTCGAATATTTTCGGGTCAAGTGTCTTCTCAGATTTTACAAACGGAATATCATAAATTTTTCTGTACAAAGACAGGATCTTAACAATTAAATTCGTACTTAATCGAGTTAAGTACAAATCCTCAAAGTACTTTCTCATTCAGGGTCAATTCAGACTATTTTATCTCTCAAGGGCATTTTCGTAATTTCTTAACCAGATAATTTCGATATTAGCTCTTAACGAAAATAATATAATATAGAGATCCTATGATTAATTGCTTCCTCGAACATTCTTTGATCTTGAAATGATTCCTTAAAAGACTTCTAGTATATAGCATAAACCTTCTTGGGGTTAAAAACCGGTTATCCATAATTTCCAAGTAAAACTAACATTTCTTATGTACATCAACAATTTTAGTAGATCAATAATTCTTTTCAGATTTATTAATCCACTTCCAGAGACAATTCTTGTCATTTTCCACCATAAGGGTAATTTCGTAATTTTACCTAATCGAAATATTCTCATAATTTATCATCTAAGTACCTTTAATGAGATAAATTATAATCTACAATCCATGGTTGATTCTTTTATCACTTAATTTCAGAACTTGTAATTTAATTCCAACTGTCCTCCAATTTCTTATAATAGTCATCTGAGCCATATTCAATTATCTATTTTCTACCGTATTCGTATCTAGTGTAGATCTTCATTTATTACACATATAAGACCAAACATTTCCATTCATGTATTTACCAATACCAACATGTTCTATAAAGCATAAAGAGGTAGTAAAGTATTATCTCGATTTCCGTGCAATACTGATCGACCATAAAAATTCCATTCGAATGCCTTTGATCCTCAATTCAGCTTCCAATATTTCCTCAAATCCATATAAACAGAAATTATATCAGAAACGGAGCTTAATTACCATAAACGGATCGAATCGGGTGATAGATCAGTGAAAGACGGCTTACCGGGTTTGAATTTGGCAAAACGGACTTCGGATTCGGATTCAGGACGTCGAAAGCATAAAATATGACTTTTCAGAAATTTGGAATTTTTGGTCAAAATCAAAGTCAACTTGACCGGTAATTTTGAGGCCTTCGGGTTCGAATTTCGAAAAACGGACAGCGGAATCGGATTTGGAACGTCGAAAAATGTCAGGATAGGTATACTCGGTCGAAGTCAAAGGTCGTTTAATGCCCGGTCAAAGTTTTGGTCAACAGTGGTCAACGCAGGTCAACGGTCAACGGGTCCATGGGTCGGGTCAATCGGGTCGGGTCGGGTCAACGGGTCGGATCGGGTTGTGACCGGTCAAACCGGTCAACTATGCACCAAAACCGATTAAACCGTTCAATTTTTTTCTTCCCCACGCGCAATGGCGGCGCGTGGGGGCGCGTGAACAGTGCTAAAATCCCGGAAAAATTTCTAAAAATTATTTTGAGCGATTTCGAGATACTTACAAAGCTCGGTTCACAATTTTGAACGGCGGAGAGCTCGATTTCAACAAATCGAAAAATTTGACCGCTTCACCTCCTCACGCGCCGCCGTCGACGGAGACCAAGGATGACACCGGCGAACTCGGAACGATGCAACGAACACGATGGTGCGGGAGGTGTCGTAAACGGATGACCCGATCGTCGTGAATCGATGAAAAACCAACTAAAACCGAGTTATTACCGACGATACTTCCGACTGAAATTCACGACGAACGGCGATGATTCACGACGAAAGGTTTGAGAGGTTTTGTTCCTCGATTGACAACGAACACGATGGTGGTTTCGGCTCGTCGTTTGGAGGTTGGATGGCGAGTAGATCGGAGTTGAAATGAGGGTAGTTGGAGAAGGGAAAACTGGAAAATATGCATCTGCGCACGGGGAGAAGAGATTTATAATTCAACATATAAAAACAATGGGTAAACCAAGAGTTTAGCCACTGAACTTCCTGCACTTCATAAAACGGTCTGCCAACTTTGAAATCTTACAATTTAATCCCCGATTCCTTCCAAAAATACCAATTAAATTCACCACTTTATAATTTCTTAAATTTAACCCCTAAATTGGGGTGTTACAAAAACAAAGAGTCAATCTCAATCATATATTTTCACTCATCCAATGAATCATTGGCAATGATCCAAAATTTGTGTAAAAAAAAAGGAATCAAATCTGAGACATTTATTTTCACTCATCCAATTGTCTTAAATCTGTGTAAGTGAATCCTAACTTTTATATATATATATATATATATATGTATAAGCTTGAGCTCATTGGAATGTAATTAAATATTGTAAATAAATGTTTAATTTTATTTAGGGTAAATAAATTTAACAATCAACAAATTTCACAAAAAAACAATGATGTTCGACAATTTGTTACAAAGAAAATATAGAAGCTAAAAATATTGTTAAATCTTTTTCCAGTCCATGAAATTATCAACAGCTTTATCATGGTTTGCACCATTGACACCATTAACAAGAAAAAAAGCCATTTCTTCTCAATTCCTCTCCTCCATTGAAACCTTCCCAAATTTCCAAGTTCACGATCGGTAACTCTTTCTTTGCCACTATCATCATCTTGATTATTGTTATTATTACAACTGAAGCTTTGTTGAAACTCCCTTTTCATGAACTTTTCTTCGTCGATGTCGTCGACCGCCAGTAAATGTGGCGGAGGGAGCTCGTCATCACGCTCCCACTCTTCAATACACATACCCCATTCCATATAATCAACCCCCGCCATTGCCAAAGCTTCTATTGAAATTGACATGATATAAATGTTCAAGCATGCGTTGCTAAAACTGTTTAGATATTTGAAGTGGTCGGATTCCGATATTTTTACAATGACAAAAAATATCTGGTATTTATAGACAGTACGTCAATAAAATCAAGTTGACAGAGGGTATCACTCTCGTGATATATTGTACATTTTGACCAAAGTATTCCAAGTCGCTTTGCCTGCCGGACAATGCTGATCAAAGAGAATGAAGAAAGTCATGCATTGCAAATAGATTGCTGAAAAATGAACTGGTTGATTCTTCATCCCAAGTGTGAACTTTGAATAATTATATAGAGATTATTATGTATTTCTTTGCCTGACGTAACTAATGAAGTTATATATATATATATATACAAGTGGGTATGTATGTTGACTTTTAATTTTGAGCTATATTATCTAATTTCAAATAGTACGTTATTGCTCTTTAACATATCGATATTGTTATAATAGTATCACAATTTTCATGTGGATACTAATACTAGTATAAGATTTGAAATGCGAAAATAAATTTCTATTAATTCCTGTTATTAATACTATATGATAAGGTATCGATACTTGATTGCACGAGATGATTTTAATCCACAAGAAACCTCTATACACCTTCTTAAACACAAACTAACTTCTATTAACGGTTCTTAACCTTAAAATACACCCAACATCCATTTAAATCTCGACAAACAAGACATACAAGAGTTTATTTTATGAATTTACCAATTTTAGTCACTAATACTGTTAACTACTAAATCTGCTCCATCATTTAAAACATGTACTAATGCATTCATTACTTATGTAATTTACCTACGAACATGTAAAGCTAAAACATATATAAAATTAGAGTAAAATACTAAAATGATCACTTTTTTAAAAAATAAATTTTAAATAAATTATTGCTTAACAAATTATCTTTAATGAATTTTATTTATTGAAAGAATATTTTTTTCATTACGAAGTACGATAAAATTCTAATATATATTGCATTTTTTATGTAAAAAATAACGTTTTTAAGGGCGTTTAACCATTTTGATATAAAACTCACGTGTTTGGAGGCTGATTAAAAAAAGAACCTTTATTCAACATCGAAACAAAGAGAAAGTGCTTGCGAGTTTAGTAAAACATACACACCAAAACCAACATTCTCGTGACCAGTGGGTTTACTTATTTGACTGACCTTCTTTTTCATTTGTTTAAATGCCTAAATTAAATGTCAACGCGGTGGAAAACTTAGTTCAAGCCTTTTAGCGCGTTCAATTTTATAATTATCCAATCAAAATCATGAATTGTGCGAATTAATCCCTAAACTTTTCGATCATGTTAAATATTTAGTAAATTGAACACATGATAAAAGTTGTATTTTAAACTATGATTTTTAAGGAGTTTAAGCATAAGTGGTGTAATTGTATCATTTTTCTTTAACTTGCAAATGAAACTAAAAATTGAATATATAAATGAATAATAAACAAACATTAAAACAATGCTAAACGAACGCTAAAAGAACATGTTCATGAACACGTTCGTGAGGATATAAACGAACATGTTCGCGAACATTAAACGAACGCGTTCGTAAACATTAAATGAATATGTTCATGAACAATAAATAAACGAATATGAACACATTCAAAAATAAATAAACTAACATGAACATAACCTTATTAGTTCAAGTTTAGTTCATTTACATCCCTAAACTTATTTAAGAACTTTAATATCTTACTGATTGCCAAGGATCATATTAAGTATTTTAGCATAAAATAAATAATCTGTAATAGAAATGGGTGGATCATTGAATTGACAGTAACAAAATAATAATGACAAAATTATACAAATAATTCCTATAATTTAAAAATATCGACTTATACTCTTAAATTTAACAAAAAGACACTAATATCTTTATTTAATGTAAAGATAAATAGACTTACATTTTAAAAATTTCTGCTTATACATTTTAAAGTTAGTATTTCAAATTAAATTAAAATTAAGAGCGTATTTGAAAAGTCACACTATAATTAGATTTGAGTATAATTATGTGTAATTATACTCACATATTTGGACAATAGTTTTTTGTTGCTCTCTCGGTTTTAAGGCTTAATCTTGATTAATTCAGATCGACTTGTGTCATATATTTAATTTTGGTAAGTGAAGCGAGTCTCCCAACAGAAGTTTTATACATACATAAAAATTCGAACTTGAAACCTGCTTAAATGAAGCTGGTTACCATTTGAACCAATTCCTTTAATATTTGGACAATCATTTTAATTAGCGAGTCTCGTTAAAATGTGTGTAATTGGAGTCGTCAATTATGCTCTTAAATTTTTTTTTAATTAATTTAGGGTAAGTACAATGTAGTATATGTTTAAAGATAACTCTCAACTATTTGACATTAGACGCTCACACCCTTAGCATTCATAGTGTTCAAAACTGAGTTCTTATAAAATAATAAGAATTCCTTTACTCGGTCATCGAAGTCGCTTGGTTCGTTTTGCTCTTCAATCTTTAATAGATTTATGGAAATTGATATAATCACGTTGATAATTATGCTCTTTAATTTATAATTAATAATATTTCAAAATTCAAACTTTTATATTTATATAATTACAATTTATACTACTAAATATCACATAGAGAATTGAGATGTAATTATATTTTATTAGTTACACATATCTAAAAGACTAAATTTTCTTATAATTATACAAGTGTAATTATTAAGTAATTATATTTCTATGCAATAACATTGTAGTATCTAAACGCTTCATAAATAAAAAAATATCTACCATGTATTTGTATAATATATTTTTAAAAGGAAAAAATAGAAAAATAATTAATTTTTATGGAAGACAAATAATTCTTCATGGCATTTTAAAAAAAACTTACACTAATAAAAAAAACTTACGTGTAGTATTTAAAAAAATGAAAAAAAAAATATGTTTAACGAATGCTTATATTATATTATAATATATTTTATAATTTAATTAATAATAATAAATATATTAAACTTTTATGATTTTAATTTAAAAATAAGAAGAAAAAATAATACAGATAAATTCTTCAAAAAATAAACTTGAAGAATAAATAAATATTTTTTAAACTATAAAGAATAAATATATTTTATACAAAACTTAAGTGCAAAATATCATTTATCCAAAAAATAATAATTTTATTTTTTATTTCAAAAATAAAAGAAAGAAACAAGAGGCCATCAGTGGCTAAATAAATTATACAGGATTGAGGAATAAATTAAGAAATATTCTTTCAACCATTAGCTGTATGATCATGCATTTGACCCTCTTTATTGGCTTGGACGATTGTAATATTCTCCCGGCCAAAGCTCTGCCTAGGAACGCCCTCCGATGCCTGAGTTCTCCTATGGCATTGGTGTCGATGATTTGGGTAACTTGTTCAACAACCACCGCCGGTTCCTCTTCCTTCTCGTCAGCAAGTAAATGCGGGGGTGGGAATTGCAAGTCATCATCATTTTCCCTCTCTTCAATGCCCAAACCCCATTCGTTATAATCAGCCCCTGCCATTGCTAAAGCTATCAAATTCTATGTTCTCTTAAGAAATGCTGGAATATCTAATTTCACACAATCGAAACTCCTATATATATATATAACTTACCCATCAAAATTGAGTTTGACAATCTTCTTTGAATTCAATTCACGGGGAAAATGGGAACTTTTGTTTCTGATGAACTTTGAAGGTTGAAAATTTTGATTGGGAAAATGGGAAATCAGTATCCGATAAGAAGTGGCACTAAATTCTTGTGAATAATCTGTTTGACCAAAATATTTCTTTGAACTCAATGTTCTTTGCTGACGCATCCTGATTTCCAGGAGATTGAAGCTATGATGAAAGCTTAAGACCGGCATTATATCGATTTTCTTTTATTTTCTTCTCTGATAATTAATGAGAGTACTCATGGATCAATAACATGTGGGAAAATGTTAGCGGTTTCGTTTCTTTTGAATTGGTTTAAATGGGTGGATTTTACTATCAGCCAAAGTCAATGTTCCGCAAGATTTTACTATCACGTAAATATTTAAATGTTCATTTGATTTTAAAACTTTAGACAAAATATTAATTTTTTTGTTAGCAAAATCTCTTATTTTTTTTAATAAGAAAGAAAGTACACTAGGGCTAGGTAACTACTCCATTATGATCTGGTGTAGTTCTTGCTTATGTTTAGTACAATGAAGATCCACTGGAGGAAGTCTGAAGGTTTGACGACCAAAGGGCGGCTTCAAGTTAATTTGGTCAAACCATCAGCGAGTCTATTCCCTTCTCGGAACACATGAACGAACTCCAAATGCCAGTCTCTACTCAGAATATCAACAATGTGTGGTTTTAGATGAGAATGCATCTTCATTCTCTACGTTGTTTGAGCATCAAACAAATATCCCTGCTATCAGTCTCAAGAACGACACCTAAGCTAATCCCTTCACGGACTCTGTAAACCTTCGCGTCCATCACCGAGCAGATACCTACAACCTTTGAGAAGCCACCAATCCATGCAGCAATATCATCTCGAATAGTCCCACCACACGTGGAAAAATCAGAATTAGAATTATGTGGACTATTTGTATTAAGCTTGAACCTTCCTTGTGACGGAGGGGATCAACGACGTCCTGTCTCCTCCTCGTGGGACCTTAGAGTAATCAACAAAAACATAATACATCACCTTTTGCCTCATCAAACCCCCCCCCCTCCAAAACAAAAGGAAGGGAAAAAGAGCGCAAGAATGTGATCGATACAAACACTCGAGCACCTGAAAATCAAGAACATATAGCAGAGCAGAGCAGGGCACCCTAACAGAAACACAACTTAGAACAAAAGGATTCTAATACAAATCACCACACAGAAAAAAAGAAAAGAAAACACATGCATTGAACACTAACACTATTATGAAGTCTCATGTGCTACCCAACAACCAAACTTCAACTTTCAACCTATTCCAAACACAAACACTATAGTAA